TTCAGCCTCCACAAGAGAAGGCTGAGGGGGGATCCTGTGGCCTGTTACAAACTAGTCAGAGGGGACCAGCAGGCATTGGGGGAGTCCCTGTTCCCCCGAGCACCGCCAGGAGTGACCAGGAATAACGGTCTGGCAGAGGAGAGATTTAGGCTAGATATCAGGAGGCGCTACTTCACGGTCAGGGTGGCTAGGATCTGGAACCGACTTCCAAGCCAAGTGGTGCTGGCTCCTACCTGGGGGTGTTTAAGACAAGGCTAGATGAACACCTTGCTGGGGTTGTTTGACCCCAGTACTCTTTCCTGCCACGGCAGGGGGTCGGACTCGATGATCTGCTCAGGTCCTTTCTGACCCAACCAACTATGAAACTATGAATTCTTGAACCTCCCAGACAAGAGCCAGAAACCGGATCCTAAGGGGCTCAAAGACAAAAAGGGAAGGGATTAGGTTCAGAAAAACAGGAGTGGCAAGCAAAGTTGCGACATTTTCAGAGCAGGTTTCCTTCCCTGCTAGGCAGGGTGACGTTGCAAGGCTGTGGGTTGCACGGCCTGCAGCGTGGATGCCTTATTTTTTACTCAGTCAGAAATACGTGGAGCAGAGCATCTCCTTTCCAGGCTCCCTGAATGCCCTGGGCTCATAGACAGTCCCCAGGTCACCCTGAGGGTCTGCACTGTGAACTCATATATAAACCCTCCGCTGCTAAAGCACGGGGAAGAGAACAACGCCGGTTCCAGGGTCCCTAATACAAGAGACGCTGCAAACGTCCCATGTGGTCCCAGGGAAAGAACTAAGTTGTAGGTATGTGTTGGACACCGTGAATTTTGCAATGGTTTGATGCACAAAAAAAAAAAAGCATCAGCTGGTCCCAAGTCAGCCAGGAGCCCTCAGCAAAGCCCTCTGTGTCACTTGGCCCGAGCGAGACATTTGCAACAGAACCTGAACACCAGCAAGTTTCTTGTGGCTTCGGGGCATTTAACATGGATCACGGCTTGGCTCCCGTGCTCCCGGCTGCTTGGTTCAGAAAGAGTTCAC